TTTTAAGTTTTTCGAATTTTTTTGACGAAAATATGTTAAAATAAGAATTAATAACATGTGTAAATATAAATTTAGTGAAGATGTACCAATGAAAAGTGACAATTGTCATAATGGTTAATTTTAAAGTTTTTTGAATTTTTTTGACGAAAATTTGTTAAAATAAGTACTAATAACATGTGTAAATATAAATTTAGTGAAGATGTACCATAGAAAAGTGACAATTGTCATAATCATTATTTTTAAAGTTTTTCGAATTTTTTTTACGAAAATATGTTAAAATAAGAATTAATAACATGTGTAAATATAAATTTAGTGAAGATGTACCAATGAAAAGTGACAATTGTCATAATGGTTAATTTTAAAGTTTTTTGAATTTTTTTGACGAAAATTTGTTAAAATAAGTATTAATAACATGTGTAAATATAAATTTATTGAAGATGTACCATAGAAAAGTGACAATTGTCATAATCGTTATTTTTAAAGTTTTTCGAATTTTTTTGACGAAAATATGTTAAAATAAGAATTAATAACATGTGTAAATATAAATTTAGTGAAGATGTACCAATGAAAAGTGACAATTGTCATAATGGTTAATTTTAAAGTTTTTTAAATTTTTTTGACGAAAATATGTCAAAATAAGTATTAATAACATGTGTAAATATAAATTTAGTGAAGATAGTGACATTTGTCATAATCGTTAATTTTAAAGTTTTTTGATTTTTTTTGAAGAAAATATGTTAAAATAAGTATTAATAACATGTGTAAATATAAATTTAGTGAAGATGTACCAATGAAAAATGACATTTGTCATTATTGTTATTTTTAATGTTTTTTGAATTTTTTTGAAGAAAATATGTTAAAATAAATATTAAAAACATGTTTAAATAAAAATTTAGTGAAGATGTACCATAGAAAAGTGACAATTGTCATAATCGTTATCTTTAAAGTTTTTTGAATTTTTTTGACGAAAATATGTTAAAATAAGTATTAATAACATGTGTAAATATAAATTTAGTGAAGATGTACCAATGAAAAGGGACAATTGTCATAATCGTTATTTTTAAAATTTTTTGAATTTTATTGACAAAGATATTTTAAAATAAGTATTGATAACATGTTTAAATAAAAATTTAGTGAAAATGTACTCTAGATAAGCGACAATTGTCATAATCGTTATTTTTAAAGTTTTTTGATTTTTTTTGACGAAAATAGTTAACCTGCATCGATATTGATTTTAAAATAGAAAAAAAGGTTTACCCAAATTTTAAACAAGATTGTCTGATGAAAATTGGTAAAAAAAATAATAATTTCTAACTTAGGATTAGATATTATGATATAAATTTTGCATATTAATTTCTGACCCGATGAACAAATGTAATAAAATGCCAATTTGCTCCTGTTTTTGGGGAAGAATCTATTATTACCATATGTGTTTCTATGGCATATACTTAGGCAATTTTAATTTTACAATCTATATTTTTACCCATTTACATCAAAGAAATTTTAAAAATAACGATTATGACAATTGTCACTTTTCATTGTCTTCACTAAATTTATATTTACACATGTTATTAATACTTATTTTAACATATTTTCGTCAAAAAATTCAAAAAACTTTAAAAATAACCATTATGACAATGTCAATTTTCTATGGTACATCTTCACTAAATTTTATTTAAACATGTTATCAATACTTATTTTAACATATTTTCTTCAAAAAAATTCAAAAAACTTATAAAATAACGATTATGACAATTGTCACTTTTCTATGGTACATCTTCACTAAATTTATATTTACACATGTTATTAATACTTATTTTAACAAATTTTCTTCAAAAAAATTCCAAAAACCTATAAAATAACGATTATGATAATTGTCACTTTTCTATGGTACATCTTCACTAAATTTTTATTTAAACATGTTTTTACTACTTATTTTAACATATTTTTTTCAAAAAAATTCAAAAAACGTATAAAATAACGATTATGACAATTGTCACTTTTCTATGGTACATCTTCACTAAATTTTTATTTAAACATGTTTTTAATACTTATTTTAACATATTTTCTTCAAAAAAATACAAAATACTTTAAAAATAACTATTATGACAATTGTCAATTTTCTATGGTACATCTTCACTAAATTTTTATTTAAACATGTTATTAATACTTATTTTAACATATTGTCGTCAAAAAAAATCAAAAAACTTTAAAAATAGCGATTATGACAATTGTCACTTTTCTTTGGTACATCTTCACTAAATTTATATTTACACATGTTATTAATACTTATTTTAACCTATTTTCTTCAAAAAAATTCAAAAAACTTATAAAATAACGATTATGACAATTGTCAAATTAAAATATTATCCTTAAAAAGATCATATAAAATCATCAAAAAAGTTTCATAAAATCCATCTCATTTAATAAAAAATAGATAATTTTAAAAAAATGATAAAAAAATTATAAAAGATTTCACCTAAAAGATTGTTTATTTATCTAATAAAATTTACAATATAATTCCTCAATAAAATATGTATTTATAAAGAAGATTGTGAAAATCACTAATAAATTATATTAAAAAGAATATTACAATTTTACAATATAGCAGCATATTATTTTTTTTATTAAAATAACATCAAATAAATAAATTTATTTTCATTTCAAAATATAATAATATAAATAAAAAATATTAAATCATATCAATTTTATTTGTTGATAATATTAAAATATTTACATTAAATATAAATAAAATAAATTATTTTACTAAAATAAATAAATAATAATTAATACTAAGCATCGATGCAGAATTTTGACTAATTTAATTTTAGCAGATTTATATAGGCTTAGCCGATTTTTAGGCTTAACCTAATTAGGCTTAGCCGATTTTTAGTTTTAGCCGATTTTTAGGCTTAGCCTAATTAGGCTTAGCCGATTTTTAGGCTTAGCCTTATTAGGCTTAGGCGTAGTTTTTAGCCGATTACGCAACACTAATCCTCATCATCTTCAATCTTGGCTTATGAAATTAAAATATTTTATCAAGCTTAAGGTTAGATCTATCTTATATCCAAATATCAATTAATGAATATAATTGGATATATACATTTGAAATTGGGGTCTATTAAACCCCACCCGAGTACTAACGTCATTTTTTTCACCGGAGTATTGAAGGGTTAATAAGGCAACAGAATTTAATTTAATGACCTGGATTACAAGTCTTCGACGAAGATAAAATCCTTATTTTGGGCCCTCTTTTTTGACCGAAATTCGTCTGCCCAAATATTTTTATTAGGTCTTGGAGTTGAGGACCAAAGGTTGTAACAGCGGTCATGATGGCTGAAACGAAATAATATAGATCAGACATGTCCATATATTTATCACATTTTAATTTTTCTGTAACTACTAAATCTTTTAATTGAGCTAAAGGGTTGATGCAAGAAAAATCCCAACCTATAAATTTGTCATCATCCCAAGGTAACCTAATGATTCCATCCGGTCTTCTATTGTCAGAAACAAACCAGTGGATTCTGCCGTAGAAGAAATCTAAGTTAAATTTAAAGCACACTTGATAAGCGAGTTTCACGAGATGTGACGGAGAGCTCACCTGCCACTTTAATGCATTGAAGGAAAATCGGATCGAATCAGCCTGTTCAGAACATAGGAATTCCTTTTTGAATATAATTAAGATTTCTTCAAATCTTTATGATTTTCTTATTGAAATATTGGAGAAGTGCATCTTGAAAAAGAATCGAAATAGTAATGAAAAGGGATAAATATTGTATTACATTATATTTTTAAGTAATTTTTTTATAGAATAATTATTACTTAATCAAGCAGTTTTACTGGTATCTCTCTTTTTCGTGGTTAACTGTAGTCTATACGATATTATTTTAGTGTTTCCTAAAAGAAAAAGAATATGAGATTTAAACCTTGATAAGAATTTTTTTTTGTATTAGAAAAGGTTCATACATTATGCTTTATATTTTTTATAAGTTATTTAGTGATAGTCAAGTTTACCTTAAATAATACTAAAAACCCACTTAACCTGTAAAAAAATCAACTCCGAAGGTATTGGAATTGTTATATTTGAATATTAATTTGAATAGAGAATAATTGTTATATTTTTATGAATACTTATATTTAATTATATTTTTTCAATATATTTTTATGAATACTCATATGTAATTATATTTTTCAATATATTTTATGAATTTTAAATGTATTTGCATATTAAAAAATCGTATATAATGGAAAGATTTTATATAATCATGATCATTATTATTTTTATTAGATAGAATTGGAATAAAGAGTAAAATTAGTAAATTTAGTATTGAAATTATTAAATAATTATATGTCTCTCCCACTAATTCGACATTAATTAACAATAGTAACACAGCTTACTACAGGAATTTCTATCTTGTCCCGGTTAAAAAGATTATTCAGGCTCCATGTTTCAATGCGCTCTTAAAAAATATCTATTTTTATACTATATAGTATTAAGATATTTTCTAAAATTATATCATTTATATTTATGCAGCGGTGTTAAAAAAATTTGAGGGTAGACCCTAAGTTGCGCTATCTCCAGTATTGCAGAGCGCTATTTTTAAAAGGTAGCTTTACCGTAACGTGCTACTTTTTTTTGAAACAGCGTAGCGAAACTGTTAATCTCTTTTTCTCCTGCCCTTTTTCGAATTAAGCTTATTTCCATAATACAATTTCATATTTAAAGTAAATTATTATATTTCTGAATTTTTTATAAATCTTTAAAATATATATTAATTTACTTATAAATAAAAAAAACATATTTAACAAAAATAACTTTAATTTTGAATAAAATATAACAATAAATAAAATTCAATCAAATTATAAATACAATAATTAAACTAATTAAAATGTAACATGCATGATGAATTATTAAATACTGAAATCATACAAGATATTATGAGATTAATTAATTTAAAAATTTCATATCAAAATCAATTTGTCAATTTTAGGCTCCTATAGAAAGTGATTAAAAAAATCTTAATTTGTAAACGAGGTTAATAATAAAAATGAAAAAAAAACATTTTCTGATTCTCTTCTAGTATTACCCCTTGTTCCACCGTTCAAATTTTGATTTTTTGAATGTGTAACATTTGACAGAAGTGGCGGACAGATACAAGATTGAACAAATTTGACAGCGAGGAATGACGATGATATTGGTATAAAGGATTTAGCGGTCGGTGTAGATTTAACGGAAAACGGGCCCGTTTAGAGTTAATTAGTCCGAACCGACGCGATAAATATAGAATGAGGATTAACAAGCAGCCTAGGAGGGATAACGAGGCGGCCAGACCACAAAAGTAAAAGTTTTCCATGGTGAGGGCATACGGTTCATAGCGGACAGATTTAATGTTAGCAACCGTAGGTATCAATCGATCAGAAAAAGGCGGAATGTTGTTGAGAAGATTTAGCTCTTGGGATGCCACAGCTACGACATTGGTAGGGCCATAATGAAATATCAGGTAACGGAGAATAGCTTCGCGGTTCGAGTAAACAAATTCTGTTTAAAAAAAAGAGTAAAGTTAATTAAGGTGAAAAGGATTGATAAAATGATGTGATACATAAAAGCGTTGAGAGGAATATAAAAATATCCAACACCAAAATTAATAGATATTCAGTGATGGATTTAGAAGGGTCTCGAGGTTTGTAAACCCCATTTCCATATTTTATAGACAAACACTTGCTGCATACCAAGAGGTACAATTATTGCAGAAAAGATTGGAGCAAATGATAATATACTATTTTTAATAGATATAGTTATAAAATTACTATTACTAAGAAAAAATGACTGCACATAATTAAAATGACAAGAATAAATTTGCAAATAATCAATTTAAAATTTTCAGAAAAAGCAAAAATAATTCAAGTATTTTTTCGATCACTTGTATCTAAATACTGCATTCTCAGCTTAATGGCAATCCAGGTTTAGTCAGGTAAGCCATTTTCCCCTCTAATTTTAGGCGGTCTTGAGCATCATGGAGGATTCATTTTCCTCACATTCGCCGGTACATTTATCCAGATCTTAGGCCTTCCTCGATGTTTTGATCTTCCAATTTCCATCAAGGTGCATCTCTTTACCCAGTCATGTTTTGGTTTACATTATACATGCCTAAACCATCTTAGTCTGTTTTTTCTCATTACCACTCCAATCGCTTCTATTCCCATCTTTTTTCTAACTCTCAGAGATACCCCGCTCTATCCATCATACTCATTTCCGTTCTCTCATATTTAGCTTCGTGAGCCATTTTCATTGACCATGTTTCATAGCCATAATATAAGCAACTCATCACCCAACTAATGTAAACCTTCCCTTTAACTTTAGAGAGACGTTTTTCTTTGTTAGAATAGAGGACATCGCTCTAAACTTCTTCCATGCTTGTCTGACCCATGCAACAACAGCAGAATCTACACCTCCATCGGACCCAAATAGCAAAACTCTATCTTTCCCAGGGTTAACCCATTGCCAATATCCAAACCACCATTTTCTACGATAACATTATGTACGCCTTTTTTGCATATTCAACAAACAAAAGTCAATAGTAAGAGACTTATTTTTCTAACTACATCTTTGCACCCATTTCTGGCGTCTGGTGCATTGGAATGAATTTCTAGCAAATTCCTTCCACACCAAAAGGACAGTTGCCGGATTCCTCCACAGATTATCTCCACCAACCATCACCTTTGTCTTTATTGCATTCATTTTCAAACCTTTTGTTTCGATAGATAGTTTCTGTCTAGTAATTTTATCCCTCAATTCTTCCTCACTATTCGCCATTAATACAAGGTCATGTGCATATAATAGCTTCTATGGAAATTTTTCACCCATCTCTCAAGCCACCACACCATTATTAAGATAAATAATAATGGACTAGGCACGGATCCCTGATGAATCCTACCTTCGCTTCAAAGCTTACATTATCTATATCATCCGTCTGTACCGCAATATGTGCTCACACATACATTGTCACAGTGGCGTATCCAGGATTTTCTTATGGGGTAAAAATTTTGGGGGCTTCGCCCCCAATCCTCCCTTACCTGCCCTTCGGCGGGCTTATTTTAGCTATTCTATTAAATTATTCATAATTTAATAATAATTATATTTCTATTTTAATCTATTATTTAATAATTCGTGCTTATGGATATTACAAGCCTATTTTTTATTATTTTAAGTTAGGTATATTATATTTAATAAAGTTTTTTTTAAATGTAAAGTTGAAATAAAGTTTAATGTCATTTTTTTTAAATAAAATTTACTTTAAAAACTAGCCTCAGCTTAAATTCTCATACAATAAAAGTAGAATATAATTTTTTTTATTGAAAATACTAATAGTAGTGTGTATAAAATTTTGACTAGAAAATAATTTAAAAAACAAGTTTTTTTTAACTTCTTATCAAATACAATGTTATACAAATTTTTTTATTAAATACTATTATAATGTGATTTTTAATTTTCGTGGGAATGTTGCCAATTCATCAAGAATTTCGTTTGTCGTTGGAACCAAATCTCAGTGGATATTTAACAGAGCCCCATTTAGCCGAGGTTCGGAAGTAGTACTTCGTAAATATGTTTTCAACCTTCTCAAGTTGGAAAAAGTCCTTTCATTCGTACATGTTGTAATAGGCAAACATGCAAGAATATAAAACAACTTCAAAATATTAGGAAATTGAGCCAAGGTTTCTTTACACCGATTGAGCGCATCAATAGCATGCTCAGGTAAGATAGCTAAACGTAGTAAATATTTATACCACAATTCGAATTCACTGATTAAATTTATTTCAGTATCAATATCATAGGAATAAAATTTTGCTAAATATTTAATTTTACCAATAGTCGCATTAGAAAACGAAGAAGGATCTTTGGGTAATAAAACTTGAAGATTGCTAAAGACTTGTTTTTTATCTACAAACCGTACTTTTATTTGCGATAAAAAAGTATTTAAGAATGGGATGAAAATAGATATTTTATAATATTCTTCAGTTGAGCCAATATTTATTTTACATCTTAATAATTGCCTAGGTGCTAGACGAGGTTTAATTAGTGTTATATCATAAAATTTAGCCTTCGATTCAACGTCTAGATAAATATTATGAAAATATTCATCCTTATTGTATCTACCTGTTCATATATATTTTCCGCCAAATCAATAACCTGAACCAAATCTAAATTTGGTTTTTGTAAATTTCTACAAAGTAGTGAGCTATAGGAAAATAATTTATTGATGCAACTAGCAGCAATTATAAACTCTGATTGATCAATTGAATTCAATAATGATATAGCTTCTGACGACACATTTCTTTTTTTCATGCTCAGCCTTATTTAACTTTTGTATTTCTATTTCTTCTGTTAAAAATACTTATTAATTCTAACTCACTAATAATTTTGAATTTAATAAAATAATTATATATAATAATAAAATAAATTACCGTTTGATTTCAATCTCTTTGACTAAAAAATTTTCCATTTTATTAATTATTTATAAAAAATAAGTTTTATGTTGGAAAATGATATTCAAATATTTGTAAAATTGTGATTGCGGGGGGGGGGGGGGGGTGGGGTAAATTATAATTAGCTTAAAATGATATTTATGAAAACAGTCAAATTTGCGATGGGGGAGGGGATTTCCCTCTTTTCCCCCCATTGGTTACGCGCCTGTTTGCAAGATTTTTCTCCTGTATTTGTCTCACCACAAAAATGCATAACCAAATTACATTTCATCAATTTTCATTTGTTCCCTTATCCACTTCTCTAACACCCTCTCAAATAGGGGAGACCAGGGCTAGTGGGAGCAATTTTTGTCAAAATCATCATAGCTCCAAAAATAATGATCATATAAGATCTTACAAAATACCAATAGATACCTTAAACATCTACTTATAAATATATACTGTTATATTTTTTAAATATTTAATAATTATTTCTCTAGAAAGGTTTTAGTATAAGTCATTTTTTGAATCTAGTAGCCCCAAACCCGTGGTTAGTCGAATAATCGATGGGGCTAGTCGAATCAAGTGGTATTAGGCTTCTTATGGGACAAAAAAAAATTTTCAGGTTTAAATATATAACTATGATACTTTATTTATATAATATTCTATTTACAATTATAACAAATAAAATAACAATCTTTTTGACAGAGAACCACTCTACATTGAAACCAATCTTCAAAATTATAAAAACTTTTAAAATCCTGTTTACATATATTTAAGCATTATATATCAATCTGAAACTTTTCCAAATATTAAAATAGATATTAAACTTTCATATAATGTTCATTTTGTTATGTTTAAACTTTTAATTTTTTAATACAACCTAATAATATTAAGTGAAAATATTGTAATTTTTACGTCAAAAACATGTCATAACGGATAAAAATTTAAATAGCTAAATATTATAAATTATTTTCATCCCCAATTATGGATATTATAGAATTCTATAACAAGTCCCTTGCGCCGACTAGCCCTGGTCTCCCTTACTTTGAAATGTTCAAAGAGTTTAAAAGCTCTATAAGACCTTCAATCTAAAATATCACCTTTCCTTTTGCATATTGGAATAATTACAATTTTTCGCCAGGATTAGTTCTTTGTGTGGCAATTAGATTGCATAAATTCGTTAACCATTCAATCTTTAGGTCATCAAAGTAATTGAGCTCGTGGCAAATTTTAAAGCTTTTAAGGGCCAAATGTTTTAAAAAATCTCAAATTAATCAAAATGTGTCAATCAAATAAGATTATCTTCTGCACACCTTTGCCATTATTCCTATGACCAACCAGTGTTGAGGCCAAGCGTTTGCAGCTCTTAAAAAAAATTAAAGAGCTATCTAAGAAGCATGATATGAGAGAGAAATGGATTATTCATTGATATGTAGTTTTACCTTCGCATAGTTGTATTTTCAGATTTAATTTATCATTGGCGCAATTATGAGACTCATTGTGAGTCGCTCTTTCTTTTGTATTAGATTTAGAGATCTGCAAAAGTAGGCCCGGCCCGTACTTTGGGCCGGGTCTAATATTTTTTAAGAAAATTCGGGCCGGGCCTTAGAAATTTTTTAAAATATATCTAAATTTATCAATTTTATGTTGAATTTTTTATGTAAAATAAAAATATGTAATTTATTTATAGAAAGTAGACGCCGAATAACATATATCTTTTATTTTGGGTAATTATAAAAATTAATTTCTATATTTAAATAAATTCAGGCCGGGCTAGCAAAATTTTTTAAAAAAATTTCGGGTTCAGGCCGGGCTGGGCAAAAATTTATAAAATAAATTTCGGGCCGGGCTTGAAAAATTAGGCCCGATGCAGATTTAGATTATCATGTTTATGTTATTGTTGTTTTTTTATTTATATAATAAGATTTACATTATTTGAGATTGTATTGAATTATCAAGTATAATGGGTGAAAAATTTGTAAATTTACATGATTATTCTTTTTTTTATCTGAGTAAAAAAATCTAAAAAGTATCATATAGTGATTCTTTGTGTTTCTTAAAGGATAAAAGAAACTTAAGCCTACCATAATTTTGTGCATTCATACTTTTAATTAGTGATCAGCATCGGGCCTAATTTTTCAAGCCCGGCCCGAAATTATTTTCAAAAAAATTTTGCCAGCCCAGCCCGAACCCGAAATTTATTTTAAAAAAATTTACCGGCCCGAATTTATTTAAATATAGAAATTAATTGATTATATAATTTTAAAATAGTTCCAATTAGTGATTTGCTGGACTAATTTTTCCCCGGCTCGAACCAATCTTTATAATTACTCAAAATAAAAGACATATGTTATATGGCGTTTAGTTTCAATAAATTAAATCAAAATTTTTTATTTTACATAAAAAATTCAATATAAAATTGATAAATTTAGATATATTAAAAAAAATTTCCAAGGTCCGACCCGACCCGGCCCGAAATTTTTTTAAAAATATTAGGCCCGGCCCGAACCCGATTATTTTAAGTAGATTTAGGCCTTAGCCCGACCCGAGGCCGGGCCGGACCTAACTTTGCAGATCTCTACTTTTAATATCATAAAAATTAACGCTCTCGTCTTTTCTTTCTTAAAACATTTCTGTAACCCACCCCGCCTGATTTTAAATATCATAAAATCTTTATTAAATATTTTATATTATGTTCAACTTCAAATTGTGTTTTTTTTTGCTTTTACTTTTCTGAACAGTTCCATCTAAAATAGATTAAAATTAAGGAAAATAAAATATTCAAAAAAACAGTTCTGGACATAGGGTTAAATGAATCGAATAGTCGCGAAATAAATTGTTTTTAAAAAGACTACTGACCTTTGTCAAGTGGGCCCACTTTTTCACCGAGGCCAGCTCGATTGGACAAAGATTCAGCGTCGACCGCTACACAATCCGGGCAGAGCACGCGTGGTGGATATCGCCCTTTAGGATAGAGCGGGTCTTCGGAGGCATCCCGCGCAAGCCGCTCGTTGACAGCGTTGTGAGTGCTCCAAAGCCAAAGTACGGCGGATTCTGCGTCCGAAATGACGTCCTCGACGTTGTTTGTATCATCTTTTTCATTCGTTAAAGAGGTAACATGATTGGCCGAAGTGAGCGGGGGAGCTAGGTGAGAGGCAGCCCGGGCAAAATTCATTGAACACTCATGGCAACTAAAGTAGTGTCGAACGAATTCGCGAATGGTTACAAGCAAGTTATACGGTTCGAGTTTTTGGAGAGCTGATAATGCTTTAAATTTTGGGGATCAAGGTAATGATAATTTTGCGTTAAGCATAATGCCAGTTGCAATTTAGACTCTAATAAGAGTATGACTATATAATACTTAAAATTTTAAAATTAATAAATAGGGTTTGCCATGATTAAATCAAGTGATTAAAATCGAGATTTAAATCAAATTCTTTTGTCGGTATTTTAAATCATTATTAGTTTATTTATTCAAATAATTTTTTTATTCACATTTAACTATATTTTGCATAAAAGTTATGATGCATAGCTAATTTAATTATTATAAATAACTTCTTGTGCTGCGTTAAATCCTAGAATTTTTTGGGGATATAAAATTCCTATGGAAATAAAATAGTTACTTTATCTGTGCATATAAAAAAACACGTGCTTGGTTTGTTACATACAGTGACCCTATAAACAAGATAAAATATCTGCCAATCTTTAGACAAATATTTTGGATCGGAGTGTAATAAATTAATGCACAAGTATATATAATTTTAATTTTAAGCTACTTTTACTTTTACCCTAACCACAAAATTCTAACAAAAAAAATTAAAATAGGTATCATCATAAATTTTAAACAAAATTAGATTTGGTAAATACTTTACTGAGTTAGCTTGCCATTTAGCTAGGTTCATTGCCCGTAGCTCCTCAAAGTTTTTATGTTCAAGGCCAAAGGCACGGGCGTAACGAACGGTAGGTAGAAGTAATCGACTCTTAGATATTCCGGGGATAGGATATCCGGGTCTGGTACAAGGGGACCCTGTTTAGGTGATGGTATGCGGAATATTATTATAGGATACTAATTGGTTCCGTGTCGCAATCTCGAATTTTGGGAATCTGAGGGTAGCATTTTTGAAGGTTTTACGTGGTTGAGAATGAACTTATACATATATGGAAACAATACACAATTATGATTTATCAACTAAAAAAACACATTGTAAAAATTGGGGAAATTTCTAACTTTTCCCGGAAATTTCCCTTGTGTTACCCCTACTTATTATTTTATATCTCATTGGTTACTTGGATGACGGGAATTTGAGTATATGCCTTTTTGAAGTCGATTACCAAAAATATTTCCTTCTTGTATCCTTCTAAATCCTCAGTTTGGAAAAATTGTCTAAGTTTTGTATAGATATGATTGGTGATTCCCATTTGCTAATATCTAAACACTTTTACGCACATGGGATATCCAAAACCTTGGCACCGACAAAAGGCCCCAATCCACAAACCTTCAAAAATGCTACCCTCATATTCCCAAAATTCGAGATTGCGGCGCGGAACCAACTTAGTATCCTAGAGAAATATTCCGCAGGTTAAAACATGACTGAGGTATAAGGAGTAGGATTATAGACTAAATAGATATGGATTAGATAGGGTAAATTCATTTTTTTGATAAACAAATATGACAGGTCATGTGATTATAGACAGACTATTATAAATTTTAATGAGGTAATGGCTATTTCCCTGAGTTGAAAGTAAATTTCTTAATTTTTGTTGTAAAACTTTACAACATAATACTCTTCTAAATTAATTATTATTCTATCTCATTTGCAATTTTGGATAAAAATTTTACAAAATACATCGTCTTAATTAATTACCCAGCCTAGCAAATATATTTAAAATCAATAAGTAAAATTTATACATAATATAAGAAATTTTAAAGATAATTTTTAGTATAGAATATATTATGCTAAATCTATAAGAAAACAATGCATTTTATTGATAGTGTATCATCTGCAGGGCAGTAGCTAGGAGCCGCTCCCCCAAAAACTTTTTTTTTGGCTTCCAAACCTGGCCCCCAAAAATTATTCCGGCCTCCAAATTTAAAAAAATTATTAATTATTTAATTTTAGTTACCATTATATTAAATCTAAATGATAATACACACATTTTTTAGAAAAATATTATTTATTTAATTTATACAAATTAATAAACAAGAACATACCTATAAAAATATTTAATAAAAAATATCCAATCACTCGTTTCATGAAAAAACAGCAAGTTATTTCCACATTTTTATTCCTCGTTAAAAAGACAAACCTCTTATTAAACATGGCGGAGAGTACACACCATTATGTGGACTTGGAAGGAAGAAGTTGAAGGCAAATACGTTTGTTAAAGTCTATTTATTTATATTTACAACTTTTTTTACTTAAGTTTACCTAACTAAATGATGTAGGAAATATTTGTGTAGCCCAAGTGATGAATTTGAACATAAGGGATTTAGCAATTGGGAAAATGCGTCAGCTGCAAAGAAGGGAGTGTTAAAACATGAAAGCTCATTAAAATTCAATAACAAATTAGCATGGTAAAAGTCTTAATATAATAAGAATACTGAGATAAACAAATTAAACGTAATCGTTATTATCTTAAATCAATATTTGATTAGCATACAGACCTTTTAGTGGGACTGGTTCAACAAAAATTACGTACGCTGCAAAAGATGAAAACATAATTTATTACTTTGGATTATTTATAGCAATGTTTTCATACACCATCCCAAAAGATCCTGAATTAAATAAAATTAAGAAATTAATACCCAAAAATGCCCAATATACATCGCCCCAGATTCAAAACGAGGTAATATCTATTATAGTAGATTTGGTGCTTGAATATATCTCAGATAAATTTAACAAAAGTGAAAAGTCTTTTTTTGTCTTAAGGCTGTTGAGACAAAAGATGCATCAGGTTGTGAAAACCTGAGCTTAATTATTCGCTATATTTTTTTAAATTGCAATTATTAATTTACATTGTCTTTCTGGTGAAAGCATTACTGATTGCATTTTAAAGCAACTTAATGAATTAAATATTAATTCAATAAATATAGATATGATGGTGCAAACGTCATGTCTGTCCCAAATGTAGAAGTGTAAACCCTACTTCAAAAAAAAATTTGAAAAAAAGTTCCTTTTATACATTGCTACAACTACAATGCATCTTGTGGTTTAAAATTGATATAATAATATTGTTATCATTTCTAATTTTTTTTAATTTATCCCATTGTATAATTTTTATAAGTATTTTAATGTATCTTGTGAATATACAGGCCATACTCTTAAGAGACTTTTAGACCAGAGATGAACTGGCCATATCTGGCTTCATTTATGAGAATTTTGAGGCTATTGGTGAAGTATTATTTTACTATACTAATAGAATTTTAACTCAGAGGTTTCCACTCATGATTCAGTCAAAGTCTCTGGTCTTATCTCAATGCGTTAATATAAATTACCTTATATTAGCCATTATAATTTGAGATATTAATAACAATAGATCCACTAAATAAGTAATTAGTCAGTAGGTACTAATCTAGTGGATGCTAAAATTGTATTGATTGCACGATCAAAATATTAAAAAATTAAAGAAGCGATAATTCTTTTGATTTGATTAGAATTAAGACTTTAACTTAACGTGTTAATATAAATTACTTTATATTAGCCATTATGATTTGAGATATTAATAACAATAGATCTACTAAATAAGTATCTACAGTCAGTAGGTAAATCTAGTGGACGCTAAAAAATGTATTGATTCCATGATCAATATATTAAAAAATGAAAGAAGAGATAATTCTTTTGATTTAAGGCTCAAAAACTTTTAACAAAATTTAATCTCATCCCCCAAAAATCATCAAGAGTACGTAAAACGCCTACAAATTTTCAAGATTTTTTAGTCGAGACCAAATTACAATTTGATTGTGAAAAGAAAAGAATTATTATGAAATTATTTATTACTTTGTTGATCTAGATTTACACAAGATGATTATAATTTTCTATCATGTTTTAATACAGTGCCCCCCCCCTTGACCCGGATTATTTTATATCAGATAAAATGACCCCATTAGATTCATTATTAAACTTAAATGTGGAAACATTACATCATGAAAAGAAGCAAAAGGGTTATTAGCTGCAGAATTTAAAGAAACACATAATTTTGAAAATATCCTAAATATTATGCATAAAAAAATATTTTGCATTTAAAGAATTGTATAAATGCTGCTTAGCAGACATTATCATTGGGGTATCAACAGCATCACGTGAGGCCTCATTCTCTACACTAAAGAAAGTTCTAACAAGCACCAGAGAATCGATGACAGATCAACGTAAACAAAATTTAGTAATAATGGATTATGAAAAAAAAATAACACAAAATTTATCCTTTGATTCATTTATGTTAAAATAAAAATAAAATTCGCCGTATAATATTATATTATTATTTTTTATATTCATATTATAGTATTATTTTGTATTCATATTACATTTGCAAATTTTTTAATAAAAATAGCAAAAAATTTATATGAATGCTAAATTATTTATTTTATTTTAAAAGAATGGTGCCCCCCCCCCCAGTAAGCAATTGGCTTCCCAGCTAGAAATTCCTGGCTATGGCCCTAATCATCTGAAAATCAAAGTATACTAGATACTGAAATTGCAAATGCCTATTTTCCATAACTCAATGTGTGTATTGGTAGAAAATAAAACCTACATTTATATTACCTTCTAGATATTTACTCAGTAAAAATTGTTAAACAATGAAAATTAAAGAATTAAAAATATAGAAATAGTAAGATTAGAAAAAATTTTTTTTATCTTTTTAGTGATGGGTAGACAAATATAAGAGGGGAATATATTAAAAATTTCTTCATAGCAACCTCAGCCCCAAATTCTATAAATTAATTAAACAGTGACCAATATACATACAAAAAGTGTTGTTAAGCAGCTCGATTTGGGCCGATTTTCAAAATGGAAACTCAATATTTTAATCAGAAATATATTGCCTAAACCTCGAGATTTTGCTAAGACCAAAATCTTCAGGCTTGCGTAATATTTTTCTAAATGAAATATTGAGTTAACCGTTTTTAAAAATCGGCTCAAATCGAGCCGATTAACAGCATTACATAGGAAGGGGGGGGGTATATCTAATAAATTTATTAAAGTAATTGAGGAAATAGGAAATACAAAAATTAACACCATAATAATTGATGATGCACGTAATAAGAAGAGAGCAAGGACACTTGTAAGATATCGAATGCATTGGGTTGATTTGCTTTTAAAGGATATATCAAATAAAATATTGCTAATTCAAATTTTAATCGAAAACCAATAAAACATTCATTAAATTTATAAAATCGGACAATATTGTTATCCATATTTAAAGAAAAACAACTATTTAGAGATAAAAAATAGAGTAGCTACCTCAAAGATACCTAGCCCAACTTGCTGGGCAGGTAGATGATTAATAACTTGTTAAAAAATAACAACATTTAGCTGGATATAAATAGTACTTTGCATTATTAATGATAATTGGGAATCTTGAAATAGTGCAGAAAAAATTGGTAAGGTCAGGAAACTGGTTATTATACGAACAAATTTTCAGTTTATGGGATAGGGAAAGCAACAAATGACAAATTACTAGATTCCGATATTCAAGCTCTTATCTAGAATCGTTTTCATTTTCAAATGAAGATAACGAATAAAATAATCAAAATTTGATATTTATTTAAATAATATATTAATGTCTACATGTTTTCAATAAAATATAAAGAAGAAAAATCAATATAGACCTGTAAAATATATTTTTCAAAGAAAATTTCTTGCTTCCCCTAAATTTTCCCAAATAATAGTTTCCGGGAAATTTTACATCCCTAACCATCAGCACAGACCTGAGGCCGTTCTTATCGTCGTCCAATATGGATATCCACAGCATCCATGATTTTCCAAAGGATCACTGATATAGCAACGGCCAGACTACAAAAAAATATTAACATACTTAAACGATATTTTAATTTTGGTTATATTTTTGGAGAACTGGTTTAATCTTTATCTCCCCTTTGTCATACTAATAGCCTTCAATTTAAGGATAAACTTAAGAAAATATAAATTGGTGAAAATTGTTGAACGTTAAGGCCATAATCATAGATGCTAACGAGATGGTTCCCTGCCTAAAAACTTCAAAAATAACGCAAATGATGAAGTAAAAATTATGAATTCAAAATATTTCTTGAATGTGCTTAGTTAGGCGCGAAACCAAACGTAAATTATAAAATATAATCGAAATTTTCTTTCTCGGGAGAGAACGAAAAGATAATAAAAAATTAAATATTAGTCTGAAAAAAATAGGAAAAACCTGAGTAGATGCTGTTAAAAAGCCCGATTTGGGTCGATTTTTAAAAAGTGACCGGATTAAGATTTTAGCCAAAATAATATTATGTAAACCTGGAGATTTTGCTCATAGATGGCAGAAAGATTTAGACCTCTACTTGCCAAATATTGAGGCTTACATAGTAATATTTTGGCTAAAATTTTAATCGGGTCGTTATTAAAAATCGACCAGAATCGAGCTTTTTAATAACCTAAGAAACTTCTTTAAGGAAAAGGAAATTTTTACCCGATAAATTATAAAAAATTTAATCTACTTAGCAAGAAAATATAAATTTTTTTGTTTAAATATTTCATCAAATTCGAAAAGTTATTCAACTTGACTTAAATGGTTGAATAATATTTCCTATTCATGAAATAAACAAATTTTTTTTTAAAAAAAAATACCAATTCATCTCTACCAACAAAAAAAACCAAAGATCAGAACGATTTTAAAATAAAAACTAATTTAAATTGCATCTGTTAGCAACTTAAAATATTCAAAATTTTAAAAACCTGGACAAGACTTTTAAAATAATACCAGACCAAAAAATTGGGTTTCTCAATCAAAGTGAGATGGCTAACATTCCTTTAAACGACGATCAATTGTTAGTCATATTGTCAGTCTTTCAATGTTTCATCGTAGCTAGTTTGTGTAAAATTAAAACTATGGTCAAATATTTTTTTTTAAACTATGCCCTGTGAATAGGAAAAAATAAATTGGAAAAAGAGTGAAAGCGAGAATGTATGAAATTCAAAAATAAAACAAAAAATTACCGGGTGAAATTTTAGAATTATTAAGTTTCAGGTATAATCCAGCCGTAAGAGTATGAAACAACGTCCAAAGACCGCAAGGGTAGCCGCGCAAAGATGGAGCACTTCCTTTACACCCGATCCAATGCTCCTTGTATTTGAAAAGATTTTCGAAACTCTAATTTTTGACCAAAACAAAGATATGGTAATTTGAGAAAAGTTTATATCTTAAGATAAATGCTGTGCATAATCTATGTAATATTCTTATTGTAAAAAGGGACCAACATTTAGAATATGTATTTTAGTGCTGCATAGTAACGCGTTAGTTAGAAAGGTAATGTCGTTACTGTTAAATCCAAATAGGTTATCATAATTGTAATACAATATTATTTGAATATTATGTATCGTATTCGTAATAAGATATTATTTGAATATTATAAACTTAAAAGGCCAATTGAATTAAACTATTAAATTTTATTATTCAAACAGTATATATAGACAAGAATTAATAATACAGACTACCATTAATCATATATCTTTTAAAAGAATAAGTTACTATTCCCCCAAACAATCAAATAGCAAGGTTGCTATTATAAAATGTAATGTGTTACTTTTTAAGTTAAAAGTTAGCGTTACTTTAAATTTTATTATTAAATTTTAATTTTAATCATTAAAAAAAACAAAGACAAAATCAGAGATCCGAACCGAATATCCGTTCAAGTTAAGATAAAAATAACAGTTTAGGGTTCAGGTTCGGTTCTTAAAAGATAAAAATATCGGTTATATTCGAACCACTAAAAACCGATATGATCTTTTGTATACAAACTCAAATTAGAATTATATAAAGAAGCACATTTTTATTTATTAAACTAATATAAAAAAAATTTAAGTTAAAAATATTTAAAAAATGCTTTTAATAGCAATATAAAAATTTATAAAAATTGTGACTAAAACTTATCAATCAAAATTGATTTATAATAATTTTTAAAACAATTGGAATATAAATTAGAATTTTAGCAATTTATAAGTATAAAATTATGAGGTTCGAACCAGTTCACAGGCATTTTTAGCGGCTCGGTTTAGATCCCTGGATAAAATCCAGTTATTAAAACAAGTTATATCTAATCTAGCATTATTATTTCAGTAGTTATTTTTATTGGTCTATTGGGTGTCTTCGAGTAATGTTAGTAGGGATAATATATCATGTGAAGTATCCTCATCATTACCTTAAAAATCAAATGAATAAAAGGAACCAGTGGCGTAGCTAGGAATTTTCCTTAGAGGGGGTCCATACATATAAAATCTGGGAGACTTCGCCCCCCCCCAGACCCCCTTTAACGGGCCTTCGGCCCTTTTACCGGTTTTCGGCCGGGTTTATCTTACAAATCATAACCATATCTTCGATAATATATAATAAATATATTTTTTAAATGCATCAATAATATGTTATTATAATTTAGTAGATTATTCTCAATGACTTTATAATATAATATCCTTCCACAAACATCAAAATCAGAAAAATATAATTCATATAAAATCACTTTTAAGTCTTTTGAACGTATAATCTCAAAAAAAAAATTGCTCTGGGAGGGGTCCAAACCCGAAAACCACCCCCGTAGCTACTCCACTGAAAGGAACAGTATTTGGTTTATCTTGTAAAAATATAGATAAAACTAGGATGTATTTATGGAGAAAATTAGTACCAAGGCTCATTCCCAAAATAAGAAAAAAACGCTTATTTGCAGTTGTAAAAGAGTGACGGCTACATTTGGGAGCTAGCTCCTCTTTGGGATAGAGATTGCATAAATTGCTTAAAAAAATAATCATAAAATTAAATGTTGAGCTAAGTTATTAATTTTATTTTATTATTTTTTTATTCTCCTTTTCAAATCATGAAACACAGAAGATGATATAGTGTTATCAGATGTAGAAGATACTTATTTGAATGTATAAAATTTCCATTTCCATCTTACAAATATTTTTTTCTTCTAAAAGCGGTTGATCTTAATAAAATAATCTTACTGAGTGTAACAGCAACGATTCGATGCAAAAAAATCCTGTAGTCTTAGTCTCAAAACATGTTGAAGGTACACACACTTTTGATGTCTTGACCATGATATAATTTAAGAATAAAGTAATAAAAAATCAATAGACAATGGTAAAACTTTGTGAAGGCTTTTCAGGTTATCTAATTTAATTATTTATAATTTATACATATTTCTTTTCATTTAGAATGTTTGAGGATATAAGTTCTAAAACGGATGAAGATTTGCAAGGTGTGGATATCAATGAAATCCTGATTCCTGACTAACAGAATAAAAAGTTAAGATTTTCTACCACAGAATAAAAAATATATTGCTATAATATTAATTTTAGTGGCCACAATTGATGTAGAGAAAGCTTTAGAAAATCGCAACTTTTAAATAATATCCTAAAACTCCTTTCAAAAATGTCAATCTTGTGAATAAACGAAATATGTCTATAAATATGGTGGAAAATTAATTAAAACATTGGGAATAAGACCAAACACAGGATTGAATTTATATTATGAATCCATGACATTGTTAGATAAAATACGAAATATTTATCATTTATGTGATGACACACAGCTTATATGAGCTTTAATTCTCAGCAATGTAAATTTATTAAAAATCGAGTTAATATCAATATAATCGTTAATTTTGCGATAATAAATAAATTTCAAGTTGAGCTCTTGCAAAACCCTTGAAAATCAGCTTCACATGGATATGGGTTTTTAAACTCTTTATAATTTGATAAAAATAAATTATATATTTAAAAATAACTTTTTTGCAGATTTTTCAAGTGTTCTTAATTATGATATTATTGCTGCTTTAACTCACTCATTTAAATTAAATTGGGAATTGATAAATTAAAAAGAGATGGAGAACTAAAAAATAAATTGATTAGTTGGAAACAAATTCCAAATATAAATATACCTACTATCACACCAAAAATGCCTTACAATGATAAGACTTCTAAATAGGAACGGAGAGACTCTTTAATTTCAAGTTTCTTTTAAAAAGGATTGATGACTCGGATGACGAACTTTCGAAATGGAAGAGAAAACCGTAATAATTTTTAAATATTGATTCCGTTTAAAAATATAATACAAACCTGCCATCCTCAACACCTATTAAATGGAGCAAATGTGGTGTTAAGAATGAGATAAACTATCTTAAAATTAATGAAAAAAACCTATCAAAATCGTTAAAACTAATTATAATTATATTTATAACTATAAAAGATGAAGGCAGGGCAAAAAGAATATTTTAATTTGGAAAATTATATTATAAAATGATTTTATTTTTTAATAATTTATTTCTGTTTTAACTCAAAATTTTTGAGTTTATATATATTTTTTATAATAGCTCAAAAAATATAGAAGTCTCTTCTTTTAGTTAAACAAATGATTTTAAGGCAAAAAGAAACTTTACATTTTTTACGAAAATTAAGTTAACTAAAAAAAATTACATTTTGAATAAACATTTAAGTAAATATAACCTTCCAGTAAAAAAAAATGATGATAAAAAAAAAATATAAAATACAAAAGATGTTATTTGCACCTTTAACAATAACCTAATATATATATATATCAACGTAACAACGATGTTACTCAAAGTTCTACATTTTACTATGCTGAAATAAATGTCTGGCAAAACTAGATTTTTTTTCAATTTAAAAAACGCGTCAAGTAAATGATTTCATGGAAAATAATTTGTTGAGCGCATTTTAAAATATGAAGATCTAATTTTTTCGAAAAATGCATTTTGTAAAGTAAAATTAAAATGTCTATCCTATAAGTTTCCGACAATTTGATTATGAACTTGTTTTTAGAAATTATAAAAACACGGAATGACTGAATATTAATCAGGCACATACTTTGCGGGTAACATATTTGAAATGTTTCTTTTCTAAATTCCATTCCTTTATTATTCGTTATTTAAAAAATAATAATTAATACAACTTTTTATACGCCTGACAAATATTTTTATTTATTATATCGACTAAATTTTAAAAAAAATTCAACTTTGAACTCTGGCCTAATTAATTGATTAATAATTGCATAAATAAATTTTGTGATAATATAATATGCTATAAGATATAGTAGGTTAATTAAATTTTATAATTAATATTAATTTCTTGTTTTCAATTTATTAACACTTTAGTTTTTTAAAATATATTTATACTTTCTTTTAGTGATCTGCATCGGGCCTAATTTTTCAAGCCCGGCCCGGCCCAAATTTATTTAAATATATAAATTAATTTTTATAATAACTTTATGTTATTTGGCGTCTATTTCTATAAATAAAATCACATATTTTTATTTTACATAAAAAATTCAACATAAAATTTATATAATTTACATATAAAATTCAACATAAAATTTATAAATTTAGATGTATTTTAAAAAATTTCTAAGGCCCGACCTGGCCCGAATTTTCTTAAAAAATTATTAGGCCCGGCCCAAAGCCCGTTCGGGCCTACTTTTGCAGATCTCTACTTTCTTTTAACTTTTTTCTTGTTCTTTCAATTATATCCCCCTTTTTTAAAAAAATGCAAAATTTCAAATAAACTTGGGCCCATCATGTTATTAACCTTAGGCAAAAAAGTGAATTTTGATTTTAGTGGTCATAAAAAAATTGGGTTGCTCCCTCTCTCGGGGGGGGGGGGGAATGTTTTTTCTGTTTATTTTTTTATATTAATATTGTTGGTTCTTTTTGTGATTGATTACTTTTTTTATTTTATTTTTAAATTAATATATCTTTTATTATTTAAGATATTTTATAGTTTTTTCTAAAATTTGTATACAGCATTTATATATGGGAGGGGGGAGAGTAGGAGAATTTTGCCTATAAATTTTTTAAAAATAATTCTTAGTTTCGATAATTATTAGATTATGTATATATAATATGATTCCTTCCATAACTTAATATTATTTTCTCTTTTTTTAAATGAATATTTTTAAAGTAATATAAAAAAAATAAGCCCCCCGAGAGAAGCTGCAACCAAAAATTGTTTTTTTTTAAATTTCCTACAAATATAGATATAAAAATTATGTCAAATATCGTGCAAAAAATATGATTTTTTCCTCTTCGTTATGGGGAACAAATTTTGTCGCTCGCATGTAGGGTAACTCTTTTTCAAATTGGAATCCTATCTGGTGCATCTAGATATAATCAAAATAACTGGCAATCGAAATGTCAAGAATGCGAACATCAACTCTTAACCACCAATTATTTTTAATTTAATATAAAAGGAGGTAAACAAAGGATGTTTTTATTATTAATATATGAATATGCTATTAAACTAAAAAAAAGTTTAGTAAATAACTAAAGGTCAAATAAAGAAAAAATTTTTTCCCGTGCATTCTTTCTCTATTTAAGTGAATGTACATATTTTATTGAATATAAAATTAAAAAATGAGGAGAATAAAATTAATATAAGAGGTCTAAAAAGTAATGGCAAAGAGAATCTTGGGAAGAGGAGAAGGTGATTAAATAAATAAGAAAGATCATCCGATGGAAGAGATAAGAAGGGTTAGATATTGTGGTAATGCCTTTGTCGTAAGGGAAGAGATTATTTAGATTGATTGGTTTTTGGATGATCCGTCTTCCAAATTCTCTAAAAAAACTATGCTACTAAAATAGGTTAAAGTAGTAGAGCAGACAATGGGCATTAATGAGTAAGGATCTTTGGTTATTTTCCGAAATTCGGCAAATGCGAAAGCATAGGCGTTTTGGTTGGATGGAACATTTGAATCAATGCAAATGAAATCATAAGCTAGAAGCTGGCCCTTTGATCATGTAATTTAAGACAATTCGTCTGGATATTTTCCATCGGTCTAAAGATTCCGGTTAGTTAGAGTCTAAAGCGGATAGCCACTGGTTTAATAGCTCGCTAAATTAGATCATAGAATTTGGTAATCCGTAGGAAGCTTCGACAAAGTTAATAGTGGAGGCAATGCCTAGCCTTGCTATCAACACTGGTTTCACAATGTTCGCATTGGTAAGGCAAAAAAATTTCGCAGTTAACCCGTAGTCCAATAACAAGCCCCAGCTCATATGCCAAGAAGAGCAAATCGAGATTATTAGGGTGGGGGGGGGGGGGGTATAGTTTCCAGAAACTTGTAACCCTACATCTTGGTTCATGTCCACGGAAAATTAATTTTTTATGGTAAATTTGTTATAAATTAAAAAAAAATTTATTGAAAAGTAGCATTAACAAATATATAAAATGGGTTGATTGTACAAATCTATTCCAGGCCCTTAGCCATAATGTGTTAGTTTATTGGGGGCGGGGGTATACTATTTGGGGTATCATTTTTTTGCATAAATCACTAGAAACAAATTTGGATGTCATGTTTTGGGGCCTAAAATTTTTGGGTGTGACTCCCCCCCCCCTCTGTGGCTATGGGCTTGCTTTTCGCTAAAAACGATAAACTATTAGTTAATATCTCACCTCCTGATTGATTTAATTGGCATTCGTTTTTATAAATTAAATAATCAAAAACAAAAGTTTTAAACAATATTATATACCCCCTCTAGGTATTTCCCTTTATCGTGTATTTTAGTTGTATTTTAAGATTTTTGAATACTTAAATTCATATATTTTATTTTCGCAATAATTTGGAAAATTATAATCGAAAAATATTAAATTTTAACAAAAAAAGGCTATAAAATAAAGTTATAGAAAACAAAACTTGAGCAATATAAAATTGAGATATGCGTTTGCCGGAGACCATTTTTTTGGAGCGAAACTCTTTTCTAAACGACGCTTGAAATTTGGATAAAAAGGATCCGGCTTGAGACTCTTTCCCGTCCACAATGAAATGCTTGGGCAAATATTCCAGTAATGCCCCGACAAAGTTTTGTAAAGCGAGAGCTTGAGTAAAATTGAGCGAGGCGTGACGCGGAAGTTCTCGGAAGAAGTGGTAGAGAGTTGACTCCAAGTCTTCCATGTATACCCGCTTCAGGTGTCTATGAAATTTGAGGTAGTCGAAATATTATAGGGGCAGGCGATAAGGCGCGCCGAAAAGTGAAATAATATTAAAGGTGTGATATTATTGGTGCGGTTCTATAGTTTGGATCCGGATAGAATAAAAATCGAATTGATTTAAATGGTGAGATTGTTTAAAATGAATTAAATTTATTTAAAGAAATTATGAAGCTGAACAATCAAAGATATAATTATAAAAATTAGCTTGATAATTATTGAAAAGAGTATATAATGACTTCCCATATTATCGGCGTCGTCGACAAAAAGGATAATATATTTTTCTTTCCTAATTGTAATCATTTATAGATTTTGAATTTAAATATCATATTAGAAAAAAAAAGAATAAATATTTCTTATATATAAAAAATGATAGGGAATGTCTTCGATTGAGTTCCCCAAAATAGATTATTTATTATTTACCCAGTCAACAGCCTTTCAAAGGAAATTAAGAAATACATTCCCTGTCATCTATAAGTATATTATTTTCGATAATATAAAAGAAATATTCAGATATTCGCTTTTTTTACATTTCGTGTTTTCGATGGCATACCTATAGCCTAGATCTATCCATTATCTAGACGACATTCTATCTCATCTTATTTATTAGATGATCAAAAAAAGTTTTATGAACTTAGCTGACATGTCAGTGTCCCCTTTAATAGATAGATAGTCATATTTTCTTAATTAAATATCACCAAACCTAAAATTAATAACAAAAAAGGCGAAAAACTGTGAACATTTCCTACTCTTATAGTTTTACCGGACCTTAGGGTTCATGCACAAAGTCCCGCTTTCTTTTTTATATTCTTCATTTAAATAAAATTAAAATAGTGAATATAATCGTTCCTACAAATTAATTAATCGGATTTTCAATGTTTTATAATAGATACTTAAAAATATTTTTTAAAAAAATAGTTACAATAAAAAATAATCAATTTTGTGATTTTTTAATAAGTGGAAGATTTACATTCCTCCTGGTTTGGACCATATAAACTCTTTAGCTCAAAACTTTGGAACCGGTATGGTCTATGTCATTTGCATACAATCTTTCAGAAATCTTAACGATTTTATTCATAAAAAAGACTTTCAGTCATTTGTATAAATAAAAAAAATAACAAAAATAGGTCAGGTAAACTTTAGATTTAAAAAAAGAGAATTTTGGAAATGTTAATTTAAAAAGGTATAACAAAGGGGAAAAGACCCCATTTCCTAGATAAATTCTGGGCCATTTTTTTCCCCGTAAAAACGGATATATAAAATTATGATGGCACAGAATGGCCGGACCTCGACAAAAAAATTTTTTTTTAAATGAATAATGTTTTCGCTTTCTTTGAAAAGTTGCATTTTTTCTTCCATCAATTTTTCTTTAAAATAAAAGTTAGTATGAATTTTTTTTTAAAAAAATCGAAAAATATTAGCTCGCTAAGGTCATACTCGAGGCGCTCTAGCGTTTGGACGAGTTGAAAAACATAAAAGGAAATGTATTTTTAAAAACTAATTACTATAAAAGTGATCAATGCAAATTAACGTCATTAGGCACGTATGCATAACATAGAATGAGCTACAGCGGACTCCTATGTATGCACATCTTTAAATGTCTTTAATGCATGAATCGGCCATTTAGTAGTATCATTGTTACTACCATAATCCTAAGGAAATTTGCCAATATTTTATTGCAAATTTAATATAACCAATACCTAATTAGACTTAGCAGGAAAATCGGATAAAACTAATTAGTCAAAAATTAATAATCGGCTAATAATCTGCGTTACTATAAATAATCATTAAGACTAGGTTTAGTGTTGCGTAAAGCTGACCGATTTTTCAGCTAAGCCTAATATTGGTTTAGTCGATTTTCAGACTAAGCCTAATTAGGCTTAGGAGAAGTTTTTAGCCCACTACAAAACCTAAGGAATCCTTTTTTATTATTAAATTCAACATTATCGCTAATGAAGCGAAATATAAAATATTAATTTTATTTATTTCGCTTTTATTTGTTTAATATATTATTTTTATAATAATAATTTCAAATTTAAGTTTTATAAAAAAAGAATTCAAATTAACATTTGGCATGGCTATATTTATTATTAATTTTAAAAAATATACTATATATGTTGCCTATATATTTTTTATTCATTCGAAAAATATACTATATATTCTAGCGTTAATATATTTTTTTTGGAAAAGTGTTATTTCTTCATTCATTATTTAAGTGCTTTTTTTAAATATATATCTGATTTTATCAGAAGTATTCCATCTAGTCTGGAATACTTACCTTGTGAATTTCAGACAAATTAGCCATGAACTTTTAAACTTAATATTATTTAAATTAATTTTTCCATACATATTATATACATTATAAATGTCTCAAAGACTGAGATAATTTTCTACAATTCATAAGATAGGTATTCTAAACGTGAACACATTGCCGTAAGAAACACATTGACGCCAAGATATAAATATATATATTTAGTAAAAACAAAATAATGATAAATATAAATAATTCTGTGGTCTGAAGACGATGAAACAAATAAGCCGACCCATTGGAAGACTCGGGTAGGCTTCCGAGGCGGGCTGAGTTATCGGCTTCAAACCCGGTCCAATAACGGTTAAGTCGATTCGGCTGAGTAATTTAATTATACTATATATATATATATATATATAGTAAAAACAAAATAATGATAAAAATATAAATAATTCTGTGGCCTGTAGACGACGAAAATTGGAGGACTCGGGTAGGCTTCCGCGGCGGGCTGGAGTTATCGGCTTCAAACCCGGTCCAATAACGATGCTGAGTAATTTAGCTATACTATTTTGAAATATATCTAAATAAATTTTATCGTCTGTTTGGTGAATTCCAAATCATTTATTTCTATATTTTAAATAAGTTTACTTATTATATGTGTATAACTCTATTTTTTATTATACTATATATAAATTACTTGCACTTTTGTTATAACCAGTTCTGGAACTAGTTGCTGGAAATTTTTTTAACGGGTTCTGGATTTCCGGCTCCTATAAATTTAATGAAGGGATTTCCAGGTTTTGGTTCCAAACTCCGAATATAATTCATAACCCGTATAATTTATAAACCTACATAAATTTATAATTTTTATTTATATATTTTTTGTAATGACTACACGGTCGATGCTTCTATTTTTTAAACGTTAAGAGGTTGTTATTGAATTGTTATTTTTGTATTTTTTGTAAAATGTTTATTTTATTTATTATATTATTATTTGAATTTGAATAGCAAATAAAAATGCATTTTGATAAAGAATAAATAAAATTATATTTCAAGAATTACTAACATTACATATTAGTAAGTAATGATTTTAAGGAATGTTTACATGGCGTAGGCATGGGGAGGGTTTTGGGGGTTCAACCCTCCCCCCCCCCCCCCCCATGAAAAATGGAAAAAAAAAATTTTTTTTAATTTTATTTTTTTTAAATTTTATTTTTAATTTTTTTTAAAAAATTTTTTAATTTTAATTTAATAAATTCTTAATAAACGCTTGATTTTTATCAGGGATCCAAACCGAACCTGAACCGAACCGTTAAACCGCTAAAAAACCTGTATTTTTTATCGAACCTAAACTGAACCTAAACCTCTAAAAAATTTCTAGCCGAACCTGAACCGAACCGCTAAAATGCCTCTGAACCGGTTCGAGTCTCATAATTTTATGCTTATAAAATAATGTGTAAGTTATTACTAGTAGTATATTGCAAATATTTTAATTATATTCAAATTGTTTTAAAAATTACTATCAATCACATTTGATTGGTAAACGTCAGTCATAATTTTTATAAACTTTAGTGTATTGCCATTTTGCAATATTTTTTAAATATTTTAAGCTTATAAATTATAATGAAAAAAATTAAATCTAATATATAAATTATTTACATATAGTATTATAAATGACACATTAAATCTGATATCATACTGGCAATGCCAGCTACCCAAGTTAGTGTGGAAGGATGTTTTTCAACAATTAAATTTATATTATCTCCTTATAGATGTAATTTGAGTGAGACGAATTTTGAAAATATATTAATTGTGCAGCTTAATAAAAAAAAATTAAGTAATTGTTCATATTTAAATTAATCATTGATATATTTATTCGTTATTAAAGTAAATATTATTTTATAATGTGCAATTAATAAAAATGATGGTTTTTATTTTAATTATGAAATAAAAAAAAAATTTTCCTGATACATAATCCTAATGTAGGTTTGAATACAAATGTGTTCAAACCGGTTTTTAGAGGTTCGAACCGAACGGATATTTTTATTTTTTGCGAACCGAACCTGAACCTTAAACCATTATTTTTATCCAAACCTGAACCTGAACCGATATTCGTTTCGGTTTGGATCCCTGATTTTTATGTTTTAAATTTATTATAAATAATAATAGATATACACATTTGATTATTTTTATTTTTGGTTTGCAGCTATTTCACACCACCCAAGAGTTATTTATCAAACGTATCATGATATTGATTCAAAAAATCAAAAAAAAAACTAAAAAGATTTTGTCCGACCAGATTCATCGAAAGACAAGAGTCGGTGAAACTCTTTATTGAACTATATGATGTTGTCTTTGCAGCACTAGAATTTTATATATCAAGCAAGAAAAAGATTCAGCAGATGTCGAAAATCTTTTGCAGGCTATTATTAAGCCACAGTTTTTAATTTCAATTCAATGTGTTTATTTTTTATTTAATTATACATATGATTTTAGCAAAATGCTATAAAAAATTGATTTGGATTTAAGGGAGATTATGAATAGAGAAAAGGATATTGTTGAATTATTAACAAATATCAGAAAGAATGTGGATGAAAAATTTCATGAAATATATGAAAAAGTAAAGGAGATTGCTAATATGTTTGGAATTGAAATTTTTAAACCTAGAGTAGTCTCTAGACAATCCAATCGATCAAATATTGATGCATCTACGATAGAGGATTTTTATAAAATAAA